TGAATGTTTCACCGAACTCATTTATCAAAATTAAACAATATAGCTTACTACTAATATAAATACTGTATAAATAGTGGAAGGAAGTTCTTGAAAAGTAAAATAAAAAAAAAATTCACCGATTTATTCTTAAATGTAAGAAAACGGTTTTTAAACTATATCGATTGGCTCACTTGTTTTAATTAAAATAATTTATACTTTTTCATCCAGTAAAAAGTTATCAAAAATGAATTTCATTCTACGTCGGTGAAATTTTCACGGGCCTATGGTATGGAAACTTTATTTCTACGGGCATTATTCATGTTCTCCTGTGAATTTGAATATCTTGAGTAATAATGGTACAATACACAACATAGATAGCCATATTTTATACCACACTATTACAGAGATAGCCCCGGGTAGGCCGTGCCGTCACACTGAATGCCTCATGTATCATAAATACAACTGTTACTAGTAAATAAACATGTTTCTATGTTAAATCTATATACTTGACAAGTATTTATACCAGTTATTATTATACTAGAAACGTACTCAGTTAGGCCTAATTCTGGGATAGCATAGTAACGTCACATAATTTTACAACTTACAAGAATTTGAATATTTTCTATATGCCCACTTTAAAAAAAAAAACTAATTCTAAATCCAGAATAAGTAATCATATTTTGAAAGACTTATAAAAAGATTTAATCAAAATGTGATATTACCATTTTTCTGAGGCACCTTACTTCTTCAGCAGTTTTATCAAGAATAGTTTCAGTAGCTTCTCCGAAACAAGTCACCAACTGGCATTCTGAAAAGTCTGCAATATTACACTGCAGGTGTACAAGGAGGTGTATAAGACAGAAACCCAGTTCTTCAAGTTATAGGAGAAAGAATTTCACAGAGTTAACCTAGCTTTAAATATTTCCAAAAACCTGACTTCTCAATTTTCATAAATTTGATTTATATGTACCAGGACACTAGCATTGTAATAATAGTAAAAAGAGAGGAATATAGAAAAATATATTCCGATAACTTTTCACAGGACTTCAGTTGGCACCATTACTTGCGAAATAAAATTGAAAGACTTTATCATATATATTTGTAAAATTCTTTAGATCTGTTTGATAAAGAGACCTTGTTTAATCAGACGCAAGTCCCAGTTCAAATAAATAGCGAATAATGTGTTAACATTGGGTACGTTCAACATGATTATAACATCACGTATCTCCTAACTTACCCTCAGTAGTAGTCCCAGTTTATAGTTTGGATATTCATACTTGCATCTTCTACATCTGTATAAACCATTTATAGTGTCTAGTACCACATCGTGACATCCTTCATTGAGAGAGAATCGCAGTGATGATTGCAGCATTTATTAATAATGAAAGAAGCTATCATTGAAATGTAGGCAAAAAAAGACTTTTATTAAATAAAATAAATCCTGATTAATTATACTTGTCATAAGACATTAGTATTGGACCCATTCATGATATTAGAAAAACACTGGATTAACACAACGTAACATTTTCAATTTATCTATGTGGGTGTGTGATAAGCCTACAATCGAGAGGCCTGGCTTATTATGTTAATATACAAACAATCTCACAGGAACTAAATGTATACCAGTTATATGTTTAATTAATACATTTATCTATATCCAAAGTAACCTGTAGTTGGTTTCACTACATGTGTTGATATTTATTTAAATATAAGAATACACTGAAGGTCTGAGAATTACCAAAATGTGTTATTTCTGTACTGTACAGATCTTATATTTCATAAATTTGCTCATTTTCTTTCTTGATTTCATTTCTACGTATTATTAATTAGATCCTCAGTTGTTTATAACTGCAGTACACAATGTTTTTAAAGATACTATCACACACCACGATATCGTTATTTAAAGATACTATCACACACCACGATATCGTTATTATGCTTTTTCTTAAGAAACCACCATTTTCTATACACGAAGTTTTTATTTTTTTACTTAAGCAACATACGTAGTTATAAATAATGATTTTCCTCTAAATGATGTATTTCACTTAAACAGTAGTTTTTATAAGTTCTAACGAATTATTAAAATTTCAAAGCTTTACAATATTAGGTGTTGATAAAATTAGTTTACAAGCTGAACCATGAACGCAAATAAGCTTTATAAGTTAATGCTAAAAACATGTGACGTTGCTTACTCCTTTACGATAATTAAATAACTACTAACGGTATACACGGAGTTCTCCCTGCAGATCTTCAGCTTTAGTTGTGTAGTAATCTGGTTTGTTTTCCAAGCTCGACATTTCAGCTTTGACTTGAGTAAATGTCTTCCAGTTTGCTTCAGCAGCTGGAACTAAAGGTTTCAAAATGAACAATCCTCAATAGCCGTCGCTGTAGTTAGATCTCAAATCGGTCAAGAGAGGGAGCGACGAGCTAAAAGTTTGTACTTGAGTTGCTATGCCACAGCTAAAAATCATATTTTTCTTATCACGACATCCGTTTTTTGCCTGTGGTACGAGCGTAGAGTAGAAACTTCAGTAATAGAATTCTAAAACTTTATTTGGTTCAATGTGTTCATTACCAAGGTGTAAACACACACATTACAAACATGAAAAGTATGCATACATATATCTCTGTGTAAACACACACATTACAAACATGAAAAGTATGCATACATATATCTCTGTGTAGACACACATTACAGAAACTATGCATATATGGGAGAACACCACCATATTCTCCCATTCCCACCCATTCCACAGTTACCCTACAATAACCATATTCTCCCATTCCACAGTTACCCTACAATAACACCATATTCTTGGTGTTATTGTAGGGTAACTGTGGAATGGGAGAATATGGTGGTGTTATTGTAGGGTAACTGTGGAATGGGAGAATATGGTGTTATTGTAAGGTAACTGTGGAATGGGAGAATATGGTGTTATTTTAGGGTAACTGTGGAATGGGAGAATATGGTGTTATTATTGTTATAACTGATCCCATAGTACGCAGCTGCTGACCATATATCATATCATCTGATGTGAAGGTTACCATTTGCCAGCGAACAATTCAGCATATAATCTGGCAGCAGCTCTGGTATGCTGGTCATAAGTAATCCAGATATGATTACACAAATATAAGAAAAAAATTAATCTCTTGAAACTGAGAAATAGTTCAATGGGGAGCAAAAATTTTCATAAGAAACTTTGGGGGGGATACTGAAATTTTTAGGCCTCTAGCTCACACACTTTTCTCAACGTGATTTAGCAGATAATCCGAAGAATGATGGACTCTTTCAACCAACTTTCTGTTCGAATTTCCTCACATTTAATTTGTTTAATTAAAGTAATCTATCAAATGGATTTCATGTTTTAAGCTTCCAAGTTGAACTAAATCCATTGTCATAAATTCTGGCTAGATACAGTAGTGCGAGGGTTAGCGAACAATATGGTATTAATCTTCATTAACACTTTCAGGAACATACTTGTGATAATACAAAACCTACTTTGTCTGTCTTATCCTGATGAACCATATCTTGTTGAAAAGCCTCGTCAGAATTGGATATAATGTGGTTGGCACATTTTCATATGTGCTTTTTTTACTTTCATTTAAAGTTCCTAGAATTATTTACAACTCAAAAACCCTGTGGACTACAATGCATACCGAGTTCACTTTAAAGATATTTTATATAAAGTTTTCAAATCATGTTGAAAAATGTTAGTTAGACCTAGGCCTAAAATTTTTAGTATCCTTCTCCTTCAAAGAAAAATATTTTAAGGAAAATTTTTTGCCCATTTAACTAACCCCCCAATATGCAAGAATTCCCATTTTTGTCAAAAGATTAACAAATTTCTAATATGTTACTTTGACCCTTGTGCTTGTGGATTCTCACCTGTTTTAAATCCCAATTTATTTATTATAGCTACTTCACCAATATTCGATTACTCTCTTTCACTAATATGTAGTGAGCACATAAACATTTCAATAAGTACCAGATTTTTGTAATCCATCTTGTAAAAAAACAAAAATTTTGATAAATGCACTTCTTTTAAAACCGAAACAACATATTATACAACACATGGGTCAGAGACTACCAAGGGTTCAGGTATAGTGATTCCCTATTTATAATAGCTGAAGGGACGACCCATTAATAACACTTGCTGCCTAACATTATTGTCAGTCGCACAGCAGGACAATGCTCCCAATGCTGTAAGTTTGGAGTGTGTTCAGCAGCATATTTTAGCTTGAACCTTGGAACTTCCCATCCACAGCCCAACTTGCTAACTATCCCTGGCCCTTGTAGCTGTAAGTTCCCTAATATTATATGATTTTTTATTTAATTTCATCAGATCAATATAATACCCTTGAAGAATCCTAAGAAACATTACTCACAAGGCTGTACTATATAACAATTCTACCAGATGTCAGGCTAGTGTTACTACTCAGATTTAATATTTTTTTAATGGCATTAGTTTAATCTGCAATAGACAAGATTCTGACGATGGTGGGAAAATTCGGTGGAATGATGTGCATCTTTTTAATTAATTAATTCTTAAGATTTTTTACAATATTAATTATTTTATTATAAATATTAACAAAGAATTTATGAGGAAAAATATTTAAAGATATTAGCTGCACCAACATTCTCAATATTGACCAAAAATTAAGAGCAATTAAGACTATTTCACCATATTTTTTGGGGGTCTAAGTCGACGATCTGAAAGGTAACATCTGTTCCGCATACACAAAACATCGAGGTTTTTAAAACCTATTTTTTTTATTCCACTCAAAAACCTCTTATTACAACATGTCAATCTAAGAAAACCAACGTTTCCTGTTTCTCCACCTTTTAGAAACTCTTATCATCAGCTATTTACAAAATGAATAGTTAATCTGATACCTTTATTCCCTTACAAAAAACTTCAAATCTAATCTCTTTCTGCCCAAATCTCCTTGGCATCAATGCTCTCCTCAATACTTTATAGCAAGTAAGCAAATAACTTAAATCTGTACACAGTTGGTAACAAAGTACAAAATATGAAGTTCACAGTCTAAAAATGACTAAAAACCACAACCTATAAAACTGCAGGTAAAATCACAAAATGTTTTTCTTGTACTTTAACAAGCACTGAACAAACAGCTGTGTACTAAACGAAACAGCCAGATAGTTATGGCCAGTTTGCGAAAGTTAAAACCTTAAGAAAAAAATTCTAATTTCTTAAAAATGACAATGTTGAACATGAAGGGTTTTTTTAAATTAAGTAGGTAATGAAGAATTTTGTGTTAGCTCGACATTTAATATTTACATTTTTGTTTGTTTTCAAGCTTAAACCAAAGGCCGCAAGGCAATCCCGACTCCAGCTTTTCTTAACTTGGGGGTGGGATGGGCGAGCAAATACACATATAATGTGGCCAAATATATATATGTGTGTATATTTTTTTTACCAGATTCCAACAGTGACCTATTCATTGAGATTTTTATAGTAATTTTCTGGACTAATAAGCTTACAATGATTAATGATGAAAAAAAAAAAACACCAGTTTAGAATGAAATTTAGATAGTTGTGATTTCAATACAAAATGTTTCTGAATATTATGGATTTAATTAATGATCTTTTTTTGTATATAAATGTCATGTTTGAACTGCAGACTTAAGTTATTTTGATCTTTTATACAAAAACTTTCGTACTTTATTATTTGAGCTAAAGACATTTGTACTCTTATTCTCACAACTTCACTTGCCAAAAATGATTATTTCTGTACCTGTTTATAATGCAGAATAAACTGACTTCACACTGTGTAAAGTCCAAACTGATTACTAGAGAAAACATTATATGACTCGAGTCTAAATGACTTTGATTTAGGGTTTGTCTAAAAAAATCTTAAATTATTCACGCTTAATTTGGAGTGAATAAATAGTTCTCAAGTTTTCTTTATGCCTGCGAGTCCTTTTGGGTCTTCCACAGGATTAACTCCATGCAAGCTCTCGCATCCTCAACACTGTCATGGCCGTTCTCTTGGATACTTCTTTTCAAGTAGCTTTTGATGAGAGATTTGAGAGATCGCCTAAAGGGAAGACCGTAGCAATGAGGGAAGAGAATGGAAGTGTCAATCACAGTTTCGTGGATTAGCTTCAGAGCTTTGAGGTCATTTTCTAGCCCGTGCCCAATAAGAATTGTTCTCGAATCCAATAACTTAAGTAGCACTGCTCTGACATCTGCCAAGGATGTGTGAACATTTAACATGTCGCTAGCAGTGATACCACTGAAATGAGTATTGTAATCTATAATAGGATTCTCCGGCAGAACCAGAGAGTCGTACACCGTTAGTCCGTCAACTCCCACAACACTCACTTTGGTGACTTCTAGACCTTTGAATGTAAAGCACATCTCACAGTCTAGGGCGTATATTCCGGAGTTTCCCATTTTGTTCTTGAACCTGGTTTTTAAAAACCCATCAACTGTATCATGGTTTTGGACACTGACGTGGAATTTACTTTTGTTGCAGCCATGAGTACCAACATGTCTGCCACAACACGAATAAGTTTCTTGTCTGATACCACAGTTGAAGGAGATTTGTTTTTTTCCAAAATGATACTCACATTCTTCATTGGCATGGTATTCTCCTTCTTCGGTTATATAAAATTTGGCACGACATCGACAGCAAACCCTTTCTGTGGGGTCAACAATATAATTTTTGAATGGGGTTATGTAATCATTTGGGATAATCAATTTACCAGAATCATTAGAGAGATCAACAGGAAAACCATAATATCTTTGTTCTTCTTTTGATAGAATATACGAATACAGCTGATGATAGAGTTCAACTTCATCAATTTTTATTTTTTGATAGATCTGAAGAGGTGAAAGTAGTTTGTTATTCATGTGCTTTGGCTGACGATGGGGTTGGTTTACCACCCTGTTAGACGGATGCCGTTTTTGAGGGTTTTTCAGAGTATTATTGTGTCGGGATTTCTTGGTTCTTGCCTGTGGAAATTCTTCTTTCTCATTCTGGCACTTTTCCTGGTTTTCTGGACTATTAATACCTGTAAAAAAGAAAGACACATGATGGCTAAATCATAAGATACCTGAGAAGCAGGAGTTACCTCAAAAGTAAAATGTAAAGTCCGAGTCCGCTTCCACATTGTCCATCGAAACCACAGAAATTATGCTAATGTACACAAAAAATAGCTGATGTGTGAAGTAAGCTTACTTCTAAATGAAATCCTAGTTACAAATCCAGGAGAATTTATAAATTTTATCTTTACATCAAAAATACAGTAAAACAAACCTTTAAACAGTATGCTTGTCTTTTATAATATTTATTTCTTTAACAAATTATTTTTCAGGGCAAACATTTATGTAACACGTAATACACAATCTGTTTAGGGTATATGCCCAGAAATGAGATTATTTCTTAAAGAAAATTCTTGAAAACCCAATTTTCCTTTTTTTGGTGATTAGAAATGCAACACAAAACCCATATAAGCGTATTTGTACAAGTGTATCGTTATATATAGATATTTACTGATTAGATCTGAGCGTATAATGGAATTTGCTAATCGATCAATCATCTTGGCTCCTGAATTGATACATAAGACTTGGATAGTTAGAATAATAAAAGAAACCAATTTCAATTAGCTGTTTTTTTCACGACTCATCACACTATTTGATTAACCAAAAACAACCTTGATTAATGAAAAATAATAATGGTAACATTTCAGTTATTTGAATAGTTGGAATAATCAGTAACATTAACTTGAATTAGTTGATTACTTTACACGACACTAGTCGATGTTCATATCAACTAATTGACTGATGATTAGATATTCATGTTTTTCAGAATTTGTAGTGGGATTTGGAGGGACTTAGAAATTCTGACAAGTAACAATGGTGGTGGTACTGAGACACAAGTAACAATGGTGGTGGTTATACTGAGATACAAGTAACAATGGTGGTGGTGGTAATGAGACACAAGTAACAATGGTGGTGGTAATGAGACACAAGTAACAATGGTGGTGGTTATACTGAGACACAAGTAACAATGGTGGTGGTGGTAATGAGACACAAGTAACAATGGTGGTGGTTATACTGAGACACAAGTAACAATGGTGGTGGTTATACTGAGACACAAGTAACAATAGTGGTGGTTATACTGAGACACAAGTAACAATGTTGGTGGTTATACTGAGATACAAGTAACAATGGTGGTGGTTATACTGAGATACAAGTAACAATGGTGTTGGTACTGAGACACAAGTAACAATGGTGGTGGTTATACTGAGACACAAGTAACAATGGTGGTGGTTATACTGAGATACAAGTAACAATGGTGGTGGTGGTACTGAGACACAAGTAATAATGGTGGTGGTTATACTGAGACACAAGTAACAATGGTGGTATACTGAGACACAAGTAACAATGGTGGTGGTTATACTGAGACACAAGTAACAATGGTGGTGGTTATACTGAGATACAAGTAATAATGGTGGTTATACTGAGATACAAGTAATAATGGTGGTTATACTGAGACACAAGTAACAATGGTGGTGGTTATACTGAGATACAAGTAATAATGGTGGTTATACTGAGACACAAGTAACAATGGTGGTGGTTATACTGAGATACAAGTAACAATGGTGTACTTAATAGTACTTAAAGTACTTAATAGGCAGATATTTTATTACTTGAATGATTAATTGTTGGCATAAATTCAAAACAATTCATACCTTAGAACTAGTTCACAGACGTAATGTTACGATACAGCAATACTTGTTGTTACGGTTTACTCGATCGGAAACAATTTCCTTAATACAAGTTAATCATAAATACAAAATAAAAGCAACTAATACTTAATATCAGTTTTAATTTGTCTATATTGAGTTCATGAAATTACTTAAAAATCCATTTTTCCACACTTAATTAATGTAATGGAGTTAAACTTTATTTCTTCAAAAAAAAAAAAATAGCACCCAAGATCCAACTATGATGTTTAATCTTGAGACATCCTAAAAAAAAACTTTTTTTTTTCTAATGAACAAATAAGCTAGTAAGAACTGTCAAAAAGTAGATCAATGCAGAAGATATTCATACTTTCATAGTGATTAAACAATGTACCTTTTTCATAAGGAGGCAGATATTTTCCATTGCAGCTGAGATTGATGTCAAGGATATCACGGCTACGACCTTTAACAGTAGACAACAACCAAGAAGGAGTATACTGGGCTTTCATGTTATGGCGTTTATTGGACAAACTCTTTTTTTTCTTATTTGTTTGGTGGTTTCCAGGTTTTTTTTCTTTACTGTTGCAATCAGAATCTATGACAAACATTAATACTCATCAAAACGTTCCAAGACGTTAGGTATTGCAATTAAATTCTTAGAAAATATGAAAACACATATCTGCTGTCAATGATAAAATGCTATGTAAAAATTATTAACCAAAACAACTTAAGGCTTCTGCATTTCCTATTTGTAATTACAAAATCAAAATTTGAACCTCGGAAGCAATTGAAATTATGAGAATCCTAGAATCATATAAACAAAAAATTACTTGTATGATTTATTTGTAACAGATTGACAGTCCATTTCACGGTGAAAATACTTAGAGCAACATTTAATCGTTGTATGCACATTGATTAGAAAACAATCTGAGGACTTTTTTTCTTTCTGTTCAAAAAAAAAAAACAACAACAAAAAACTTGACCAAGTGAAAAAAACAACACTACTTTGTTACATTTATTTTCTACTTATAAACTAAATGTTTCAGAATATTTTCCCCCCACTATATGCTGATAACAAATAAACAAATTAATTATTTTATACTCCTTACACTGGTTGTGTTAGATTCATCCTTGATTGTCAGAAGTGCAATGATTCTTTAACTGTACCAGTAATATTTCTCTAACCCACTCTCTACACCTGTGGTTTTATTTATTTAGAAACTTCTACTATTATGTGCATATTGATGTCAATTAGCAATGTAATATTTATTAAGAATACTGTGGCAGCAGTAATCATCTTTTCTTTTTCTGTATTTTGACAATAAAAACTGTCAGCATTTACTTTTACAAAACAAAATTACTCGAGTCTCCTGTTAACAAACAAAGAAATGTGGACAAAGGTACAAAAAACGATGAATTATATTTTATGTTAAAATTCTAAAAATCTAGAAATTCAAGATGAATATTTGTTTATATATATACATAATGTTTCTAAACTAACACTACAAGAAGAAGAAAAAAGTTTCTTATTATACTGGTTAATTATGACTAATTATTATTAAGTTGTATAATTAGTTTCCACAGGGGAAAGAAATACTATTACTCAATACATTGTAACTACTCTACACTAGCAAGAACATAAACACAAAAACTGTATGTACTTGTCTTACTAGTGTCCTAGTGACCTCAAATGGAGTAACCAATCACACTCCTTCACGAAAACACTAAGGTTGTATTTGACCTAACTCCAGTAAAAATCAGGTTATCCTTAAAACATATATATATTTTATTATATTGAAAACTATTTGTAGAAAACACAATTATTTGTTAGATCAAACAACTGAACTTCAGCATATCTATCTAATCAAATTGCTTAGCAAGTAAAGTTATATAGTGCTCATCATATTTCTGATATGACAGTTTTCATTTTAATGCTTAATCCAACAATAGTAATATCACAACGTCTAAGCCAAAATAATTAAATTTAACATAGTCAACAGTCTATATTAATTAATCGAATTATATTTTATTTTTAATCAATCAATACTACTTTAATACTTACAAATGTAGTGTACATTAAAATTATTTTTAAATCTCAATATGCCCCCTTATTAAAACATGTTTAAGTTTAACTATCCTGGTAACATAATTTTAATTAAGTGGCAACTCGGGTCATTTCGCAGTTATAAACTTACCTTAAAAAATCGTGTGCAACAAAGTTAACAGTTTTCACCCAATATATATGGCTCTCAATTTACAAAACAAATTATCGCCTAGGTTGTACTTGTAGAGCTGGCCTACAAATTCAGTTCCAATGGGTATGAACTTTTAGTGCCCGTATTTATTTTGCACATAATCTTCTTGCTAATATAATTATAATTGTTAAACCGAAATAATCGTTTTTCCCGTGGTGTTTAAGAGCTCTGACAATTTCAAAGTATGCGCAACATTTAAATGACTCTACTGAATATTTGTGCAGTTACTTTCTTGAAATTTTGATGATATAACGGATTTCCGAGCCAATCAGCGAAGTCGTTACTACTAATACTAGTAATATGGGACTTCTAGCTTACGAATACGAGCCCGTTCTCACGTAAGCTAATTCCATAATTCACTGTAATTTGTAAAGTGCAATATATGCGTTAAATTTTACAATGCCTTAAATTCTAGTTTCTAACACGTTGTGCTTTCATTTGTTGTGAAATTGATAAATAATGTTTTGAATTTAATGTAATCTCTCTTACCAATATGACATATTTTGGGACATATTAATAAAAATCATTGCGGCGTTTTTCCATAATTTTACAAATTTAAGGTTTTTCAGCGTTTTGATTGTTCAAATACTCTGAAATAGAAAACAAAACAAAAACTAATCGTCAAGACTTAGGACGAATATTAGGACTTAATCATTTATGGATTCTTATATTAATAAGTTAGTGTTTGGAATTTAAATATACAATAAATAGTAATGAATTAAATTATTACTAGTATCAAACATTGTTCTAATTAAAATCAATAAAATATAATAAATTTGTAATTCAGATCGTAGATACTTCAGTAAGAATATTTTTAAAACAGTAAGTTAATGTTCTAAGGCAATTTATTTTTGGCAAATATATATAATATCTATCACTTTTCTTGGGTCCTTAATTCGTGTTACGATTTTAAGGTCATTAACAACCGGTGTCAGCAAGTTCATACCTTCCTCAATTTAAGTTTTAAGTATTACATATAAATTTCTCACTTTATAACATTTTTTAGTTAAACAGAATAAAATTGTAACGTTAAAAACATTACCTTGTATATTTTGAGGATCTTCATTATGCTCGTAACGACTAAAGATAAAAACTGCACTGATTACCAATATCACAGAAGATATCACTGATGTGACAAGAGCTATTTCCGAGTTTTCACGAAGAGCCTCTATCCACATCGCCATACTGTTTATGCGATAATAACTAGGCTTGCGTAACGAATAGGGGAGTTGAAGTAAGCAACCAATTGCAAGACCGTATTTCGTCTTCATGACAAATCAAATTGGTCAATATATTGAACACGACTTTAAAATTGAATAAACATATATTTTTAAAGAGTTTATACTTTTTATGTCTTCAATAATCAAACTACATTTAAGAAAATCCTCTGTAGATGATACTTTCAAAATAATATTGTATTCTATATCTTTTTATTCCAGCGTTATAAATTGCGTAGGCGATTTTCTTAGTAATAATATGAACGAAGAAAGAAGTTGTGGGCTTTTTAAATATTTCAACTGAATAGTATTAGACGTCATCTGATTGCAATCGATAACGTCATGATAGTTAATAGTTATCATTATTAATTAGTAAGCCAAGATATTAATAAAAAATGATGCACATAGCACAGATAATAGTTATACACAAACAGGAGAAGTCACAAAAGGAAATAGTAGACTTATATATGAAATTTAAAATTTGAGCTGAAAAGTTTGTATGTTGTTAAGCGCAAAGCTACACTATGAACTATCTGCGCTAGGCCTACGACGAGTATCGAAACTGGGTTTATAGCGTTATAAGCCTTCGAAGTTACTGCTAAACAATTGGGGGGAGGGGTGTGTACTGAATAAATGTATTGCACAACTGTGCTTCACATTCTCAATAAAACAATACAAATGAGGTTTAATTGTGCAAGAAAAAAGAAGCAGGAAATGATCTAATGCTATTGAAAGAGGAAATTATGACGCTAATTTCTGCGTAAGGAAATGTCAGCTGATTTTGTAAAGATTGAAATCTCTACTTATAAATCGCTCGAGAATTGTGGTTTATATAAACTACCCTCCCCACTCCTCTTTAAAACTCCTTTCACAATTGCTTATGCATGAAATTGTGCTATCTAATACAGAAATATCATTTAGCAAAAACCTTCAAAGATATTAAAATATTTTCTGATAATTAGGCACTCAATTATAATAACCTCCAGTGGCACAGCGGTATTTCTGAGGACTTACAACGCTAGCATCCGGGTTTCGATACCCGTGGTGGGCAAAGCACAGATAGCCCATCGTGTAGCTTTGTGTTTAATTACAAACAAACAAACAATCAGATATAATAATTTGTTTAAAGGAGCTCAAATTGTGTCTTATCTGTTTGAATAATAACCATTGAAGAACGTTAAGTCCTAAAAATACATATTTAGTATGTTTACAAACAACAACAAAAATGATTAGTCACATTTAAGAAAAAAGAAACGATTTTATTCAAACCCGATGTTTCGGCTTCGGCCTTTCTCATTGGTTACAGAGTAAGCCGAAATGTCTGGTTTGAATAATATCGTTTTTATTTTTATTTTTGTAAACTTAGTTCCAATCTCCAGTCTGCTCTTCAAGGTTTAAAAATTGATAGTTATTTACTCTATACCAACATTCAATTAACAATAACCTATAAAATACTATTATCATGATTTTAAACAATATTCGCAGAAAAATAATAAAAAAATAAATATAAACTAATAATCTATAAAATGATGAAGGAAAAATTAAAATTACATTTAGTTTTCCTTTAAATTTCTTTCCTGCAGGTCTGATTGGACAGTGGTAATTCTACGGACTTACAATGATAAAATTCGGAGTTCGATTCTCCCCCCTGAACGAAGCAGATGCCCAGTTTTTAAATACAAATAAATCGTTTCGCTATAACATAGAAAGACAATAAATTATATATCTTTCAGGTCAACAAATCAGCCCCCACACTGAGAAAAAATCTATATTAATTCACATTGTGTATATGCACATTTATTTGTCTGGTAATATGGCGCAACCTCTTTGCCAAGTAGCCGGGCAACAACACTCCCGGAAGGTCACCCAAGCATGACTGAGGCCTAAGAATATGTTTTCAGGGTCGCTGAACCCGAATCTGAGATCAGATTTTGGTTTTCTGCCCCCATCAGGATTTCAGGGCGTCATGTTTGAAGCTGTGCACATGGCACACGTACTTAGGTACCACGATATGGTGTTCTAGTGGGGTTTGTTTTCGGTTAGGGTTCCTTCTTGGGATATCTATAGTAAAAATCGGTGATAATGAAGGGGAGGTTAATTAGTACATTTAGAACTCTGTCAATCATGAGGAGGTATTTGGATCCTGTAAGCGGCGCTGGTGTTTTATGTCAGTGAAAGAGTAACAGCTAAAATGAAACCTAAACAAATATAAATTCATAAAGATTGGCAAGAATTTGGTAGATAAAACTCCATATTACACTTAGTTCTACATCAACCTAAAAAATTATCACATTTAGGTTTTCTAAACTTAGCTCATTCAAACACAGCTCTATTTGTTATCTGATTTCATTAGTCTTCCTTTACAACGACAAAGTAAAACTTAAAGTATAGCATATAGTTCAAATAGAAAAGACGCTAGTAACGGCTGCTTCTGCCAAACATATTTTATTTTCAATCAATTTTTAGGACTTTCAAAAATTTTGATTAACCAACAAAGTTGCACAATAGTCTACCTACCCTGTGCCTAACTCAGGGATCGAATCCCGAACTGTAGCGTTATAAGCCCTCAAACTTTATCTTAAAATATACTGGCATACATATTTCTATAATAGTAAATTGAAGCATTACCATTTTCTTTAAATTAGATTATTACTATTTGAAAATACTAAATATTACAAAATACTATCGAACGGAGAAAAGCTTAAATGTGAAAAATATTCAATATAAGAATACACTAAAAAGATACAAATAAATATTGAAAAACAAAATAATGAAAATATGCATCTTTTATTTAATTATATATTTTGAAAATAATAAAAATATGGTCATAAAAAAAAGACAATACTAATTACAATGTTCCATTTTATAATAATAATAAAAAATATAGGGAAAATCAGGTTTTGAACTGATTAAGTTTTTTCATTAGAAGAATAACAAGGAAGGATATAAGATATTGAATATGACTTAGCTTTTTGTACATTTACAGATTCTAGTGTCTGCAGTCTTATACTGTTAGAAACCGGGTTTCGATACCCGTGGTGGGTAGAGCACAGATGGCTCTTTGTGTACCTTAATAACAAACAACAACAGATTCTACTTAATGGTTTATTTCAAATAATTGTAATTATTTTAAAGCACTTTTTAAAAATTTCCAGCGTTACAAGCTTTGATATTTTTAGAATATTTATATCTATATTTACGACACACATATTAAGTTTTTTCTCTAAATAAAGTTCCCGGTGGCTCAACGGTAAATGTGAGGGCTTATCATTAATTACGATAGTGCTTAATAGTAGGGATCGTGATGAAACAAAATGGCGGCCATAAAAATCGCTCGTTTAAAACCACCTTTAACATGTCTGGATATTAACAATTACTATTTCACAGTATTGGCTGAGCAAAACTAAAGCTTATTGTACTTATAAAGCTGCCTAAATCACTATATACAATTTTATGAAGTGAATCAAAATTTCACTATTTCAAGGAATTTTCATCTAAGTAAGTAAGTGACTCTTCTAGACAAGCGGACAGAAAAGAAAGAAAGAAAAAAAAGATTAACCTTATCGCTCTAATTCTTTCACAGAGCTCTTCCGTCTGGAGTCCCAATATTATTTTCTTCTACCGAAAAGGATACTGGTATGTATGTATATACGCTACTTTGGTCATGTAATTAGATTTGAATGTAGATGAGTAAAGATCGTGATGGGTAATAATATTGTTGCGTCAGCGAGGTCACGTGACTAGTGTCATGCCACCTATTTTCTAGAAATAT